GCTTTAGACCACTGAGCCATCTCTCCAGCCCCAAATTTCTATTTTTGAAAAATTTATTTTCAACTAAGGAAGTTACCAATGCTCTCTCTGTCTCTCTCAATGCAGCATTGGCCATGTAGCCTCAAACTTGTGAGGTGATTCTCCTGCCTCAGCTTCCCAAGTACTAGAATTATACACTTGTGCAATCACTCCCAGCCAATTTATCTTATTGTTACAAACATTTGTTACTTTTTACTGTTTTGGAATTTTTTTGTTTGTTTACTGTATATTTGTTTAATCATGAAGGCATTTCCAATTTTTATGTAGTCAAATATTAGGCCTCTTTTTTTGTGGCTTCTGAGATTTGTCTTAGTTGGAAGGCCCTGCTCACTCTCAGATTTTTTAATGATGCACACCTGCTATGTGTTGTTTATCAGTGAAAACACCCCAGCTGATTTGTAAAGCTTTGATGGAATTTGTCTCATCTTCATCACAGTAAATACACCCCCATCAGATAACTAAATTAGTTTAGATTTTCTATCCCTTCACATCAATACATTGGGAAATTATATCCAGTAAACAAGAGCAACAAAACTATTTCTGCAAAAGCACAACTCATTTAGTTTAAAAGTTTTAAATCCATATTTGTTCATTAATAACTGGGTCAGACATTTTGCCAAAAGCATTGACTTTCATAGTAATGCCGGATTTTGCAGAATTACTTAAACGATCACTGCAAATTAGGCTTACAGATTACCACAGATTATTCCTCTACACAGATCCCTGTTTGAATTTTTTAATAGGTGCCAATGCTTTCAGATTTTTTAAAAAGAGTCATCTCCTCATGTTTTTATGGCTCTTTTTTGTGTTCTGGTCTTTGAGACAATAGGAATTTACTTAGGGGCTAAGGAAAGAATCTAAGCTCTTTTTCTTTTTCTTACTTTTTCATTCAGATAACTAAGTTGCTGTCATAAAACCATTCAATAAACAGTTCATCTTTACTGTTATAATCCTTGTAAATGTAGGCATTTCTTTAGAGAATGTAGGTTTAGAAAATCTATGTTTACTAAAGCCATACTATTTAAATTATCTAACACGTAATAAATGTTACTTACTATTCATATTATTTGAAATTACTCTGAATGGAAAGGCAATGAGAAATGTGTTAATTATTGAATACATACAGTACAACTAAGGGTCAATAAAACTGTTATAAGTTCACCCATCTTTGTTTACTGGGCATATCATACAGCATTTTACAATGCAGAGTAATATCAATCATTGCTTTAGGACAATGTCATTTTCAATGTTACCTGTGGGATGAAGTACTATGATGAATATATTGGTACCTTTTAGGAGTGAGCCCCTCCCTAAGCCTGCAGCAAGCTGCAGTCCTCATGTCTGAGACTTACAGGAGCCGAGATTTAGGAAGGCAAGGGCATAGAAGGCTGGGTGAGAAGCTCAAAGAGCTCCAAGTGAAAAAAGAATGCAAAAGCACCGATTGCCAAAATTTTTTTAAATTCTGTTTAAATTATATTATAGGTCTTTCCTTTTTTCCTGAGTATGTCATGGAGACAGAAACCTAAAAGCAGAGCTCTATCAAACGTATCAGTTGGAAATATATGCTCAAAATACAGCATTTTCATTTTACACTTGCCTAATAATACTGCTTAAAAGAAGCACTGTATCAATACAAAATAGTCTTATTTCAGAGAAGTATCTGTATTTTTTTTATAGATGAATGCATTGATTGAAAAATTCTTTCATTTTTTAAAACTCATTATTTCTTTCTTGTTTGTCCTATATCTTTGCTTACATTTCTTTCTTTCTTTTTTTTTTCTTTACTATTTATTTGGTATAGGGTCTTGCTACGCAGTTCGGACTCATAGTGATCCTTCTGTCTCAGCCTCCCCAGCTCTGGGATGACAGATGGGTGCCACCATGCCCAGCATGGCATGCGGTACTGGGGATCAAACCCAGGTCCTTGCACTTGCCAGGCAGGTGCTTATGTTGCAGGCAGCCAAGTTAGATAGAAATAACTATAGGCAGTCAGACAGGGCTGGGCCCTCGAAGGAGATAACACAGAAAACAAGATACCTTACAGCCGTGGGAGGGATTGATGCTGTTGCTGTGAGCGAGACCTAAAGACCAAAGATCAAACAAATGCTGACCTCCCTAAAGATTGGCATCTGAGACTGATCATCACCCTGAGGGAGCCAGAAGAATCATTAATCCAACTACTACTGGATGGCTACCTGATAAAGTCCTGTTCTACATTCATGCCCGCTTACTATGTGACTCGCTTCCCCATTTGGTCCTGGACTTAACCAATTTTACCTGAGCAATGGTGCTTGCAATCTCATTGGTTGACCGTAGTTTTGTCCCACCTCATGCCCACCTAAGCGAGTTCCCATGTTCTCCACCACCTCAGACCTACCTCACTGCATGGTTTTACTACATAAAAGTAGTAACTACCCGCTCGGACCCCCCTCCGGTCTCTCTCTCAGATAGGAGCTTTCCTTCCCTTAATAAATACATTCTGCTCATAACTTCTGTTTGTTCCTAAAATTCATTCTTCGGTTTTAGAGAACACGAACTCATGCGGGTCAGGTCGGGAGATCGTTTTTCCCTATATCATTTGGAGGTTCCCTATATGGTTTGGAGATCACCCACCCAGGATCAGTTTTACTTCCCTGTATCACTTAGACCACTGAGCTATCTCCCCAGCTTGTTTACAGTTCTTTATGAGCTCTATTTTAGTTAAATATCATCTTCTTTGACAAGACAGAAGCAACTTTTATTCCTAGATTTTATATCGGAACAGGACATAAAGGGAAAAATATTAGAACATTATAGATCCCTCCAAAAAGAATAAAGCTAACAAAATACTAATAGGTAGCTTTAAAGAATGTACTGTTGAATTTATGCTTCTCTGAAATTTGTAATTAAAGATGGTAAATACATAAAAAAAAAAACCTTGGATGTTTAAAAATTAACAGCATCTCAAATGTAATAATGAAAACCATGCATTAAAACCTGATTAAGAAGGATAAGGAATGAGAACTAGCTTTCCATAGAAACTCAAATTATTTTTCTATTTTCCTTTTAAAATGTGAAATACATGATATGCTGAACTTTCTGGGAACAATATAAATTCAAAACTACCTTTTTATTTTTAAGCAAAATTCTGTTTCAAATGAAAGTCAACATCTCATCATTAAAATCCACTTCCATTTTGTCCCAGGTTTCCCATCTCTCTTCATGGAAACAACAGTTTCAGAACTCCAGGAGTGAAGCCAGAACTGTATCACCTCCAGTGTCAGGCTCGCTCTCACATCTGTGCCCTCTGTTCCACTCCCACCATGCCCTGCAGCACAGTCTTTCTGGATTCCCTTTCTTCTTCCTCCCCACATCTGGTCCATTAACAGCCCCCAACAACCAGGGGGGTAATCAGAACCTGGCCCTTTCTCACACATCACTGCCAGCACCAAGGCTCCAGCCCCCATCACCAGATCTGCTGGCTGCTTTCCCAGCCCATCCCTTCACTTATACCTGTGACCTGTGACCTCCAAGTCCATCTATCCTCAGTACAACAGTCTGTAAGTGGCAGGACCTGGCCCCACACCCAGTGCCCTGACCTCAGGTCCCGCCATACTTCTGCGAAGCTGTTCCCTGGGCTCTGGCCACAGCGGCTGCCCTGCCAGCTGTGCTCCTCTCCCTTCACCCTGGGCACCTGCTGTACTCTGCTCGGAACGCTCATCTCCCAGATGCCACATCACCCTCTCACCCTGCAAGACCACCCTCCCAGGAAGCTCTTCTCTTTCTGAAATCTCACTATTCTTCTCTTGACAATTAAAATTCTTTCCTGGTTTATTTTTTCCTTCATAGCACAAACTGTGTATTTTACTTAGTTATCTAGTTATCACCAGTCTCTTTGACTGGAGTGCAAACTCTGAGTGGGACTGTTTTTGTCTTTTTTTATTCTATCCCTATTTCTAATGTCCAGAAGACTATGACACATAGTAGGGGCTCAGTGAATTCTGCTGAATGAATGGACATATAAGAAATAAATAAACAAAAGAGTGAGTCCAGCTTGGGCTTTTGCGTTGTACATACCCTGGTCTCCCAGCAGCAGTCTCCACTCATTGAAGTCAACCCTACATACCTCAGTCAGCAGCTTACCTTACACAGGTTTGACACCATCACCCCTCTAAATAAGGACCTAAGCACCCTCCACAGGACGGCGCATGAGTCTTCACAAGCAGTGGACCCTTTCTTCTAACTTTATTTTTTCATATCCTTTCTAACACCTTAGCCAAGAGACTAGTGTCTCCCAAACTTGAGTAATTTATGGGTTCTTCCAAAGAAGAAAAAAAAAAACCTCTTAATTCTCAATTTCTCTTAAGACACATGCAAGGACTCCAATTTGAGAAATACCAATTTAAGAAATTTATATTCTAGTCAGTAAAAATGTCTTTTAATGCAGATTATTAATGATTATTAATTGTAATACCTCAACCAAAGTGAGGACAGAAGCTTAAGATCTTTGTGTATCTTGTACACCATGAAAATGAAACGATAAATGAGGCAACCTGCCCACCTGGAGAGGCTGCTGCCTATATGCCGCTACATGGGTCTTCACTCTGGCGTCTCTCGATTAGCTTTCATGATTCTACTCATCATTCAAAGCCTACTTTGACTGTCATCTTCTCATGAATTACCTTTTTGATACCCTGAGCTAAAATTTCTTTCATTCTCACCCGGTAATTTTCCATTTTGTCTATGTAACTCTGGTAGTATAAAAATTTGTTCCTTTTTTTTCCAAACTAATATAGCACTTTCTATATAACAATAAACTGAATTAATAAATCACATAGGGTAAAAAAAAATGGTTCTATAAATGTGATTCTCTACTGATCATAACAACGGAACTACTTATTACACGCTTATAATCAAATATACACATTTATACTAAATGAGACAAATGTAGGAAAATCTTTCACACTATTCATAGGACTTACCTTCTTCTAAGCATCAAGTCTGATACAGGTATGCATCTTAGACCAGTACCCAATACCATAAGGAAGGAGGTCAGAAGCACAGTCACCCGCAGGCCTAAAGAGAAACAAAAAAGCCAGATTAGTTTCACTGTCTCCTAAAGAAGTTCAATGGTAATAATAAATATTTCTCTTTAAAAAAAATTTCTCTTACCTAATTAATTGATGCTATGTTTTTTTCTCTATAACCCCCAATACAGAAAAAGAAAAGAAAAAACCTAACCCACATGTGGAATATAAACTGACTTTAATAGAAGAGTGGAATGATCAGATCAAAGATAAAGCGAAAGTTCTATTAGCTCTAATTTTTCAAAACAAATATCTAGAATGTTCAGATATAATACTATATGTGTGTGTATATATATATATATATATATATATATATTTTTTTTTTTTTTTTTTTTTTGTACCAGGGATAGAGCTCAGGACCTTGCATTTGTACAGTTGTCAGGAAGGCACTTATGTTGCTCAGCTATGTCCCCAGCCCAATAATATAATTGTTTTAATATTTTATTATTATTTTTAATGTATTTGGTTGCTGTAGGGTCTCACTACGCAGCTCAGACTTGTGGTGATCCTCCTGCTTTCAGCGTTCCCAGCGCTGGGATTACAGGTACACACACTATACCCTGGACTCTGGCCAGCTCAGCCTGCCCTGGGGGTGGGGCTGGCATGACATGTGGTGCTGGGGATCAAACTGTGGTCCCTATACTTGCCTAAATAGGTGCTTTAGTCTGCTGAGCTACCTAACAGTCCCCCAAAAATATAATTTTAAAAGACAAAGTATTTTGATTTTATATGTCCAAGTAAAATTTTTAATTTTCAAATGCAAACTGCTACTAAAATAACAACACTATACTGTCCCTAACAAGTATTTTAAGGTGACAAATTGCTACTTGAAGTTTTCTCAAAAGAATTAACAACTGGCCAGCTACATATTTTATTTACGAACAAGTCATCCTAATGCTTGCTACAAGGTCTCAGAAAGCAGTATCTCAGGACTCTGTACAATAATGGTGTAGTACGTTTTTCTTTCTTTTAAATGTATTTAGTACAGGGCTTACAGGGTCTCACTACACAGGTAAGATGCATAGTGATCCTCCTGTTTTTCAGCCTCCTAAGTGCTGGGATCATAGGTGTGTGCCCCCACGCCCAGTCTCAGTCACTGTCTCAGTGCGGAACCATCCCTGTGTCTGCCTAAGCAGGCAGATTTAATCCACTGAGCTATCTGGCCAGCTACTTCTTCTTTCTTTTTTTTCTTTTTCTTTCTTTTTTTTTTTTTTTTGTGGAACCAGGGATTGAACTCAGGCCCTTGCACTTGCCAGGCAAGCACTTATTATACTGAGCCATCTCCCTGGCCCCCAGCTACTTTTTCTTGATCTGTCAAATTGTTTTCAACATAGAGGATGTTGTTAAAAAATAAAAGGCTCAAATCGTTTTCAACATAGAGGATGCTGCTAAAAAGTAAAAAGCACAGCTTTGGACTTCAGAATATAATGTGGGTCACAGCTTTTTACTTTGTACTCCACGTAAGAACAATTATTTTGAAAATGTGTGTCTAGTTGCTCATAGGATAAAACAGTAAAGGAGAATATAAAACTATGCATCCAAACAAGGTAACCAAAAATAGATACAATATTTGAAGAATAATACAGTATATCGTCCTATTTTTATAATACTATATTTTATTAGTAGTGAACTAGTGTATAATCTTTTTTTTTTTTTTTTTTTTTTTTTTTTTTTTTTTTTAGTGCCTAATCTGTTTGTGGCAGCTATCACATACAGGTGGTTTATACCAGGTCTATGGCAGAGATGCCTATATTTCTTCTAACTTTTCCAAAATCTATCATCCTCCTGAAGCCATTTCACAAAGAGAGCAGACATAAATGACTCATGTGTCTTTCTTTTTTTTTTGAGAAGAATTTTTTTTTTATAGAGGATAGATGGTTAAATGTTTGGTTGTGAGAGTGCTTCCCTGCTTGAAGGAAAATGAAAGTCAATAAAACTGTAATTATACAGATCAAACAGCAAGAAAAATAAATATAAGGTCCAGATTAGGTGTATACATGCTGCACTACACTGAGAATAATTTGTGACATGAACTAACTTTATAATATCCTCATAGAACCTCAGTATGATTAAGATAACTTGGCAGAAGGAAAGCCACACAGAGTGGAGCTTCTCAGTAACAAGCAAAGCATACATATTGCTCATTTACTGTTTCTACTGAGAACACAGACTTAAAGCTACATATAGCCACAGGAAATAGAACGTAATTACTGAAAAGTATATACACTGTCATAAATACCCTAAACTTGCAAAACATTCCTATTAAAAGAATACACTGGCTATCCATTAAGATACTGAATAGAATTTTGTAGATTTGGGCCTCTAAGGTTTGTATTATTCACTATGTTTATTTTTTCTAAAGATTTTGCTCACAATTAGGGTAAAAACTAGTAAAGAAGTAGTGGGGCATAGTTTATGGCCACATGATCCAAATAATCAGGCTCTTATTGTTACTGCTAGAAGCTAGCACACTTTTATACTCAAATGAGCTTTTAATCAAATATATGACAATATAATAGTTCATATAAACTTTTAAGAATGAAGAGTTCATGAAAAGCTGATATTAAAGTGATTTTTCAAAGATACAGCACCGTAGATTTCTTGCTTAACCTATACTACTTAGGCAATCTTGAATGTCTTTTGTTTTCATTCATAGACAAATGATAATTCATGACTAATTCCACATAATCATTAAGTTACCAGCTTAACTAGGGAAGAGACCTAATAGGGACCCCTGCAAAATAGGTATAAGAGACATGTAGAACTTTTATATAAATAGAGCTCAAATGGTCACAGTATTCAAATGTAAGTACACAAACCATGTGATGAAAAGTATTATTATAACAAATTCATATGTATTTGTGACTGAAAAATAAATTTGTATACAAATATGGCACCCAGACCCTGCAGGAACCTTTCAAAAGATGGGAACATTTCTTTTGTTGAGAACCTACTAGATATAGGGATGGAAGTCTCTAAAATAGGTGACAAAGTGGATGGAAAACCCCCCAACACACACACACACACACACACACACACACACACACACACACAGCTTGTCTGGTACTACCACCCTTGCCCAGGATCCACACTTCCACCAGCTGGGGGTGAAGAGAGCCTCTGCCTATTCCCTGCCCACAACCATCACAGCCTGGCCACCCTGATCTGCCTTTGCGGGCGAGGCACGTTGTGTCTGTCTATCCTGATCACACGGGCCCAAGGGAGCTTTACCCCACTGCATGTGTTTGCATCCCCCGGCTGACCTCACCTTCACCCACTCTCTAACTCCAGAAGCCTGTCCCCTTTCCTTCAGGAGGGCCACTCAGGTGCTGGAGCTCCTCCATTCTCCAGTTCTTCTCTAAACGGTCTCTCCATGTTCTTCCGCTAACTTCTCTCTCTTAGGAACACTGCTTCCACTACCACTTCTCACTGCACAGTTTTGTTTTTGTTTTTGGTACTGGGGATCGAATTCAGGACCTTGCACTTGCCAGGCAGATGCTTAGGCTGCTGAGCTATATATCCTGGACCCTCCACTGCCACTTCTCATTCCTTGTTACTCTCTCTACCCCAAACTTTCCACTTTTCCTTCATACTTTTATGATTTTTCTTCGTCACTGGTGTTAAGCAATATGACTATGATGCCCTCTGATGTAATTTTCTTCATGCTCTTTTCCTTCTGGGATTCCTAGATGTGTGGGTGTATTAGTCACTTCCCGGCTTCTGGGACAAAATACCCAACATCTATAATCTAAAGGAGGAAAGGTTTATTTTGATTCATGAGTTTCAGAGGATTGAGTCCAAGGATTCACAGGACCATCTGGCTCCAAGGCAGAAGAGGGAAGCTGCTCACTCCCAGGCAGCCAGGAAGCAGAGAGAAGGGAGGAGCTAGGCGTGCTTCCAATTCTGTCCAGCCTCGGACAGAATGAACTCTTCAGTGCACCAGTCCACTGCTGAGCGCAGCACCCCAAGACCCCATTACCTTACTAGCCCCACCTCTGATTACATGAGATCTGGGGGGACGGTACAGATCTAAGCCATGGCAGTGAGTATAGTGAGCAAGTTTGGAGACTTCTGAAACTTTTCTCTTGAAGAAAACAACTTCCCCTTTTTTCTTTCTAGGGGTTCCAATTACATGTATATTAGGTCAACTGAAACTGTTCCACAGCTCACAGATGCTCATGATTTTTGTTAATTTCTCATCTTTATTCCTCTGTGTTCTACTGTGCATAGTTTCTATAGCTAAATCTTTGATCTTTTCTTTACAATGTCTCATCTGCTGTCAAATCCTCAACAATAATTCTGTTTCATCACTTGTGGTAACAATTTTCATTTGTAGAAATTTAATGCTGGTTTTCTGTTTCTACGTCTCTTCTTGACATCTCAAGCCTTCTTAACGTTCTTGAACATATACTCAGAGTGCCCGCATGTGAGTGTTTGCACTCTGGCTGTTGGAAATGTGAACTATTCCCAGTTACTTGCAAATGTGGAGAACTGTTCTGCTTGCTCCTTTTGGGTGTTTCTTTCTCTAGTCTCAGGAAGTTTCCTCACTATCCACTGATCAGTGCTCAGTGGAAGACTTGAGAAGAACCCCTGAAGATCCACAGCTTTCTCTCTATGTTTCTTCCTCTACTCTGGGAGTCTCCACTAAGTATTTTAGTTATTATGGTCTCTTCTGAATTTTATCTCCTCAGCTTAGGAAACCTGCTAGACTGGAAATTCTCCCCAGAAAGTAAACTAAAGTCACTGTAGAAATCATTGCCCCACCCTACCTATTATCCAAGGTCTGAGAACCACTGTTTCATACACAGTATTTTTAATTTATTTGTTGTTAGTTGCTTAAGATAGAAGGATAGGAGGCCTGCCCCTTAGCTCAGTTCTTTAAGTCGCTGCTTCAACAAAACAGTCAGGTTCAGGTTGCTGTGGTTCGATCCCCACAACTCAAGCCAACCAAACCTGCCCTGAGGGCATTCAGAGCAAAAAAAAAAAAAA